TGGTGGGATGTGTCCTTTTGTACCGCTCAAAAAATACACTTTTGTAAGGCTTCATTGTCAGTTTTCAACTGTAATTTCGTTCCACTGATGCATGCCTTGTTCATTTCTTAGTGTAGTTAAAATGAACAAAACTTGACACTGTTTTGCGGTAACTGCCACCAGGAATTCCTGGCTTGGAACCCCCATAGTAAATGTTTGTCTCCAAGATTCGGGCGATGTTCGTGGGCCTGTCACGACAAAATTTGTCCCTTTCTGATCGGGCAGACAAACTGCAGGCAGAACATGTTGTCTCCACTGTAGATGCCTCTCGGTCGGCAAACGGGAAATAGAACACCAGGAAGTGACGTTCGCATTCAAAGGATGTTGTGGGAAGTCATCGGCCCTAGTGACCCAATGTTCATACTCTCACCTTCGATCTTGAAGCAGTCACTTTTATTAGCGTAGTGGCTTCCGGCATCCCAGACAGTGGGATCAAAGGCAACACCGACTGCGTGACTCCCTCGTCCGACAGATTGCTGAATGTGATGGAGTGTGCACAGATGGTGTTTATGGTGTTTGTGGCCAGCACACTGGAATGCATTATGCTGTCTCTCCAGGACTCCAGGGCGCATCAGCCTCCTAGACCAGCAGACACAGTTGTTGGTGGAATATTGCACAGCTATGTGTGATATCCTGTCGTGTCATCTGGCTCTCTTGGCAGGGGCTACCTCTTTGCAGCAGGATGCTGTTTTGGCAGTGTGTTTTTGCTGGCAAATCCAAGTAGTGGGGAAGCGAATTTGGCGGTTCCATCTGCGACAAGGAGGCTGGACAAGCATTCGGTAGGAGACAGATCCAGAGCTTTTCAACTCTTACTTACCTCTGGGGGACTCGCCTCGGGGAGAGAAATTGCCGCCGATATAGAATTGCCGAAACTGTGGCCACATATCCCTGTCGCACTCAGATTGTGCCAATGTATTTTGACTTCGAAGCAGTAACCAACCCCTGAAGAGGTGGTGACATAACCTCCCCTGTTGATCCCTCCGCTCCGTTGAGACCCCTGAAAGCGAAAGCAATCTGGCAGGAGGTAGACAGTTTGATTACAAAGAGCATACACAGGCAAGAAGAGTCTGAGCAAGTCCGAGCTTCTATTCACACATCTTGTAGTTCCAAAAGCTGCAGATGGCTAGCTTTCAGTTCTGGAACTAAGCAAGCTAAATCAGTATGTGCTCCTTTGTCAGTTCTGCATGGAGACACCAAACATGGTTTTACTTTTCGTGCATCGTTTTGATTGGTTAGCTTCACTAGACTCCTTCGATTCACCCATTTGGGCCAAGTATTCAAATTCAGGGTGCTCCCCTTTGGGTTATGCATGGCTCCATATGTGTTCACCGGAGTGTTAAAACAGGTGGTGCTGCTGCTGCATCAGTTCTCGGTACGCATCAACCTGTACCTAGACGACTGGTTGGAGCTAATTGCACACCACTTTCCAGGGGTGCGGAACAGCCAAGCGGATGCCCTTTCTCGGTGACTCAGTTTCCAGAACACGGAATGGCAGGTACCACAATGTTTCACCCCAGAATACTAAGCTCCTTGGCCATGGATGCATTATCAATTCTGTGGACCCACATGGATGTGGGCGCCTTTCCTCCCTTCCTGCTGATTCATAGGGTACTCAAGAAACTTTGAGAGGAGCACACCTGAATCTGGGCGCCCAACTGGCCAACTACGGCCTGGTTTCCACTACTGTTGAAAATGTTAGTGCTTCCGGACATCCCAGATCCCGTCCAACCCAACGGCACACTACCAATTACACGCATGGAGGCTCTCAGTAGACTTGCACAGACGGAAGGTTTATCTGAGCGGGCTGCCAACATCCTGGCCAGGGCTAATGGGGTTCCACCACTGCAGTCTACGACTTCAAGTGGTTGACTCCACGTTGATTAGTGTAGTGGAAGGGAAGTTGATCCATGCCACCCCATTGTGATTTTTTTCATCCATCTGTTTAGCAATCGTTGGCTATAGATCAGCCTTGTCATCCGCCATTGAAAACTTTTTGGGGACAAGACTAGCCGATTGTCCTATTATTAAGAGACTGCTTTTCATAATCAGATGCCTAGACCCCAATCTAGGGAACCACTTAATTGTGACTTGTGGTTGTGTTGTCAGCTCTAAGCAGACCACCTTTTGAATCACTGGAATTAGCACCACTGAAGTATTTGACGTGGAAAACAGTCTTCCTTCTAGCTCTTACCTCTGGTAGACGTCATTCTGAGTTAGGAGCATTTTCCATCTCGGAAAATATGGACAATCAAGCTGTGCTAGAGACACGAATCAGGTTTCATGCCAAGAAACAAATCCCAGGGCATGATTGTCATCCCCCTATTGTCCAATATTGTTGGCCTGGAGGATCAGGAGTTACTTCAATGCTTGGTTCGAGCTATGAGAGAGACATACTAAGGAGTCGAGGCAAGACAGCTACTGGAGAATGCAAAACATCTTTATCAATTATTACCTAAGAGATGCGCAATCCATTTTAGATTGGATCCCATCATCGCGGGCCAAACTTTGATTGTTGTTCCAGCCAAGATGATCACAGGGATGCCTGCGCATAGGTGATAGAACAGTCTCAGGTACAGATTCGTGCAGAGAAGTTTCTCCCGTCAGCGCTCCATTAACATTCCCAGGTCTTCCTTTCGACATATGTCATCATGCAGAACTGTTTCGGCTTTTTTTTGAATGCTAGTTACTCCCAAAATTGGGTTTGGATCTAGCATCCTCTGGCAATGCCGACCCAGCTACACTATCAGCAGTATGCTTTTACTATGGGGACGACACTGGAACGAAAAAAAGTTGATGGATAGACGACAGGTGTGGTCAACCCAAGAGCTCAGCTCGGTCATCTTTGATGTCATCCTTATGACAAGGATTATTATAAA